TGGGGGAGCCCAAGTTCAGGCGGCTTCTCAGCTAACCTTGGGCCAGACACTCTTTCTTGCGCTAACCTACCTCACAGGTTTTTAATGAAGATATAATGGCAGGGAGAGGAACTATGTACACTGCCCTAAACACCTTGAAGCCACGGCAGGATGTAAACATCACGTGCACCTAACAATGAATGCCATCGTTCTGGATTCTTTACCTCCCTTGAATAACTACGAAAACCAGCATAGTTGGGGTGTGTGTTCTTCAGTCAATGTTGTTGCTTTACCCTTTGTGTGAGTTCTTCTTATGGCAGGTTCTGCCATCTTAGAAGTGTGTTTTCCAGAGATGGCTGAGGCTACCCACAGAAGTGGGAAAATGGTTGTCTGAACAGCACTTTGGCCCTTACTGGAACATTTCTGCCAGTCTCCACCTTTTAACAGAGATAAAGATAAAACAGCAGTCGCTTTTCTGGTGAACTGAGGCAGTGGTGATTCTATTCCAATAGCTTCTTTGACGTACAGCTTTATGGAAAAGACCAAAGTCTCAGTTGAGCGTCAGCAGAGAGAAAAAGGTAAACACACATGGCTGAACAAGGCGATGGCTGGATTACATGGCATAGTTATATTAATCTTCTCTGACTGACATGTTATGACAGGATTGCATGGGAGGGAAGGCAGCAATTACAGGCTTTCTGTATCTCCACTTGGAGGGAGGAGAGTTAGGTTCCTTCAAAAACAGGAAATTAGACCAAATGAGTATGGCACACTCCCTGCCTTTGGTGGCCCCTTTTCCAAGACTGAAAACTATAGTTCAGAGGGCCCCTGTTCTGAAAAGTCAGCGTCGGCTACTGTCTGATCCAACCTTACCCCAGAAACGTTTGTTCCCATCACCTCCACAGCCTTCACATCCTGTGGCCCGCTGGGCATGATGGCACAATCATTTCCTTTGTTTTTGACTCTTGGTTGTAAGGTTTGACTCTCCATTTACAATTATGTTGCAATAATGCATTCTGACCATAAGTTGTGAAAGCTACTCCAACTGCCCTGGCAACCATATGGTACAATAAACCATACAATGGTTTAAGGGTTAGGATGGGCCAGATGTATTCTGTGGATTTAACCTGGTTTTACTAGTAATCATTGTCTCTTTACAAGGAACTCTGGTGGTTGGAGTTTCACCAAAGACAGGGCAGTGCAGAAGCACTGATCTTTTGTAAATAATTCTGGGTATTTCATGAAACTATGGTTTCATAGATCCATGGGCGGGAGGGTTGGGGGACATGTGCTAATTCTCAGATCTTGTCTTTGAAAATCATTGTGCTTGAAACATATTATACAAGTGGTGTATGTATATGTAGATACATCAGTGCCAGAAATGTCTTGTGTTGGAGGACCATCTTTGTCTATTTCTGCTCCTAGTGGTGTGGAGTGAGAGTCCAACCGGCTGCCCAATCTCTTCAGATTTAATCCCTTCTAAGAATCTTCATTCCTTTGTTATGAAATTTGCTAAAATACCGTGCACAAACTCAGTTCTTTCTCAAGGGCCTGAGATTTTTTTAATAGTCCTGAGTATTTTCATGTGGGACTGAAAGTTATTAGGGATGTTGGATGCACCTCTGGACTTACAGAATTTCCCCAACAAAAGTCCTGATTTAAAGTAGATCCACTGAGATGCACTTTGGGTCTATTTCGAGCTGGATTTATGTTGGATTTCATGTTGGTAGGGATGACCCATACTTCTGACTCCCAAAATCTGTGTTTGTATATGGTGGTTCCTTCAACGTGACCAAGGTATGTACAACTTGCAAGTTGCATCATGTCCCAACAAATGTTATTCTTTAATCACACATTGATTTTTTTTAGGAAAAACAACAACAGGATCCAATAGATGCAGCCAACAGCACTGCCTCATGCCAATCATTTAGTGAGTTTGTGGTAGCCATGGGTTGTAAAATAATGTGGGATGAAGGCATTACTATTTATCCAATTCCAGAATTGGGTCACGGTGTTTTCATATTGTCCAAGGGAATTGGGCATTGTGTCTTCAACCCAATGCACATCTTCATAATCTGAGGGCTTACCACCCAGTAACCAGATTTGCATGATCACTGGGAAAAGAAAGCCAAGCACCTCCAAATCCTGAAACAAGTCATGGGTTCCAGGATGGTTTAGAAGCCACCTGCACAGCACACCTTGCTGGGTTCAGGTGATAATGGGAACCCACACACTGCAAAGACAATTAGGCAAATTGTGTGGTACAGAACCAGCTCATGCTGGGGTGGGGAGGAACCCACCATGGCTTCTTTCTCGATTGTGCAAACCTGAGCACAATCTATGAAAGACACCAGAGTGGTACCCGTTTCCAGGTAAACTTGTTTAGGAATGGACTGTAAATCTGCAAACATTTCCTCTACCTTCATGGTAGGGTTCAAAAGTATTGCCTACAAGGAGAGGCCGGGTTCATACCTTGATCCAAAGCATTAGGTGTTTATATTACTGAATATTCCACCTGGGGCAGTTTGTGGCGGGGCGGGGGGAGGGGGGGAATCAGTGCTTCTCCAAAGGTTGTTTGCAGCATTGCAAATATGGTCTTAATGTGTTTCTGGTTTTATCGCAGCAGACTTTATCTAAGCCATGATCTGCTTGAAAAGCCAGAAGTCCCTTTTGAACGGATGCCTTCGTGTGCACCTTTTGAAAGATCCATTCAGTTTTTCTTCTTCTCCCAAGTCCTTATTCAAGAAGCCACAGGCCCTGTGTTTGGAACAGATAATAATCCTTTTAGCAGAAACTTTCTAGAATTGTTTGGTCCTTCATGAAGACATCCTTACTGTGCTAGTCAGCAAGGCAAAGACAAACATGTACCCAATGCCAAGAACTGAAAAGTTGGTGGAAAATCCTTTTCTCACCCAGATGTGGGGTATAAAAAACAGGAAGGCAGGCAGGCAGGCAGGCAGCAAAAGAACAAAACTCCTGCTGGAAATAAAAGTATGGCTTAACTTCCCACAGACAGGGGATTGAAAGTCATGAGGTTTGTGTTGCCATATAATTTCATCCTTCAGATTCAAATTATAGTAGCTGTACAGATTCCACAGTCCGTGGGTTGGTGTTGAGGTTGAAAGACAATCTAGCTAGGAATTGCAGAGAGAATGTTTACAGTCTTTAGAGAAAAGTGACTGGGCTGAAGTTGTGAAGTACACTGTGGACAAACGGGGTCCAAGCCCAGCACATGGCATCCATTGAATGCCAGCAACAAAGGGTGAACATTTGTATTTGGCAAACTGCCATTCTGATAACTTTCTAAGGCCTAGGGAACTTGGAAGTCTTTTTCTGCAAAAAATAAAACAGAACATTGCATGTAAACTTCCATTCATGTTGTTGTCATCGGTGACCAGATGTGTCAGAAGTGAGCAACCACAGCTTGGTTGTGGTGCACATGATTTTAAATCCCAGCTTCAACCTCTTCCATCTTCAAATTGGAAAAGGTTCAGGTTGCAGAGGATGTGAAAGCTGTCTGCCAGTTAGCAGAACTAGTCACTCGTTTTTCAAAAGTGTCTTTGTAAAGAATTCAGTGCACATTCTGCTGTTATGTCATATCTCCCGTAAAAACATGATAATCAGCAAGTTTCTGTCCACATTGTAAAATGCTTACCTATTGATTTCTGGAAAACATGCTCTGCAATTAAGGGGCTTTTCTTCATGAGGCAGTTATTTGTGCAGTCATGATTCTTTCCTCATAGTTGTTTACACACTTTTATACAACATAATGACATAACAGTTTCAGTTCTGTCTTTTATGAGTACTGTAAAGGGTTGTTTTGAGGGATTTTTTAAAGCAGAGAAAATGGGATATTATTATTGAAAGTGAAAGAAAAGGTAGCTTTTGACTTGTATATTTGTGCTATTCTGCTATAGCACAATGCCATCTAGAGGTTATGTAATATAGACACTGGGAAGAAAAAGGCCTTGTTGTACAGCTTGTGTCTCAATTCTGAGGCAAAACCAAAACTAGATACAGCAGCCATGTGTAGAAGTGCTCAAAGATACAGGAAAAGACTGTGTTTGTTCTTTTTTCTTCTTTTTCATTTCATTTTTGGTCTCTCTGAATTCCTATTCTTAGCTGGCCAGACTTTTTGGAAAACACTTCTTGCATGCTTGCAAGCATTGCTCACCAAGGCCTGCGAGGAGGATCCAATAGTGTCACAGCGCTGGCACCAATGATTCCATGCTAGCACAAACCAAAACTAGCTCCATGTCATTAGCATGAAGAGGAAGACTGGTGATTTGTCACTGCTAGCAAATGAGTGTTTGCCCTTCGCACAAGCCAAGAACCAGTGCCACTGGGCTAGTGTTGGTTTACACTAAGTTATTATCATTAGTGCCAGCATATCAACACCACTGAATCCTACTCTTTTTAAAAGTTCAAGAAATCTATAAAAGATGGAAAGCTAAAGACTTGAACTTTGGAATCTTGCAAAAAACGGGTAATCATTTCCTGGCAAGTCCTCTAGTGCCTTTAAAAGCTGCATGACAAGAATTCAACAAGTAGCAAGAAAAGCTGCACCTGTTGCCTGTCTCCCAGTCAAGAGCCATAAACACACAAAGCTCTGTCCAGAAAATAATGTCAACTATGCAGACAAAGTTTTGTGTAATTAGAGTGTTCTGTGATATTGCCACTATTTTTATAACAAAGAACACTTGTCTAGAACTCACGTTCATAATCACGGATGCTTGCAGTGTCTTCTCTCAGAAGCAAACCACTGCTATGCTGCTTTATTTCCTTATAACTCCCCCCCTGCACCCCCGCCACCCACCCATATGACCCTTTCCCAAAGTATGGTAGTGACTGGGTGAAAGGCCTTAGAGCAATTCTCGCATGGAGCCTCTCAGTGACAGGCCATTCATTCTCACTTCTCAGAAGATGTTTCAACAACACCTTTTGATGCTTCCCGAATTGCCACACGGGGAAGCTTCTGGCAGGATTATTGATATTTGCTTACACAGAAGGAAAATGCAAGATTTTGATTTGTCATAACAAAGAGAATCTTTTAATAACTTCAACTGAAGAGAGAGAATAACTCCAGGTAGCTCTCACTATACAAAAACAAAACAAAAAAGGTGTCCGCAGTGCCATAAAAGCGCAATTTACAAGTGTTTGAACTTAGGGATGGGATTAGGGTAGTGAACACATTCAATCATCATAGAGCATGGAATGGTACCAGATGCGATGAGGAAATGAAAGGTGAGAAAAAGTAAAAAATAACAATTACAATTTTATACATATATATAATATATATATAAAACCTTCATTCTTTTCAATCTTAGATCGATTTTATTTTACAAAATGGTAGTACTCCATTAAAACTTTAAAAGCATGGCCATTATTTTACTATGTTCTTTCTTTCATAGCAGCAAGCATTCCCTAACCAGCTTCCATAGAATTGTTTTCATCATCGTTTAGTGCAAATATCAAAGGCCTGTATCACAAGGAAAGCAACAAGAAGATGGCAACCAAGCCAAACTTCTCCGACATAGGAAGATCTACACAAAAGATCAAAGAAGGGTTCCAATTCAGTCATTTAAAATAACTTTAAATCATTTCAAGGAATAATTTCATCCCAAGTTAAGAAAAGGAGAGAAAAAGGACCTGTGAAAGAAAAATACAATGATCTCTCTGGATATGCACAAATGTTGTGGCACAAATCTGATCACAGAGATTATTCCTCTACTGGTGTTAGCATTGGCTTATGTATATCTAAAGTAACTGCATTTAAGGTGATAGTCACGCAATCAGAATGAAAGTCAGGCCTTTATATCTTCAGGAATCTTAAAGCAGTCTTCCATTTTACCTTATTAAACTATCGTGCTAATAAAGATGCACTATCTCTTACCAAGGTTACTTGGGACTACACAACAAAACCTCTATACACACACACAACACTTTATCTGCTCACTGAGCAAAGACAAATCTGACCAATGCCTATTTTCTACACAAAATTTGATTTTTCCCCCCACATCAAACAGCCACAAAGAAGAAAGTGGAGCAAACTTTTAATTGTATACAGAAAGGGAAGGAGAATCATTTCCTAAAACAGGAAAAAGTTATAATTTATCATTGAGAGAGAGAGAATGAGAGAGATTTTCTGGCACCATCCACTATTTGCAGAGGGTTGATAATGCATCTTTAGAAACAAGTTCTCTCTTTATACATTTTATACAGAGTCCCCTCTCCCACCCCCAACACAGGTAAGACTGTTTCTGACTTTCTTTCCCTGTGAATTTCCCCCTAGGTCTAGTGGTTCAGTTTCTCTGGTCCTGCTTGCACGGTGGCAGCAATGCATTTGCTTTTTTTTCATTCCTCAGACTTTACAAATTTCCAGAACTTGTAAAGACTCCTGAGCACACACCCCGTTTGCTATTCTTGAGCAAACCATGTGCACAAGCAATGGTGGGCATTAAAGTATCAGATAGCTGTGTGGGCTTCTTTTTTTCCAACATGCAAGCGCACATAATTTCATGAACATCCCTTGTACTTTATGGGAGGGTTCGCATATTAGTAAAATTGACATTTCCTGGATAGAATGAAAGGGCTTCAGTTCAGCAATTGTGGTAGAAATTAACTTGCCTTACCAGTCAAAACCTGAGTGGGTTTTGACCCTTCTGCCTACAAAATGCACTTTCACACAAATTGGGGCCATTCATTAGAATTTGCAGCAACATGCAAACTGTCATCTAATGAAATAGTGATATAATCATGTGCATCTCTGTATGTTGAAAGAAAAAATAATAACAGGCCTTACGGCAAGTCAGACCACTAGTCAATCTAGCTCAGTATCCTTCACACCAGATATTTCCAATCTGATGTTCTCTCCAGATGTGATAAGGCTACAAGCCTCATTATCTTTAGCTGGCATGGCCAATGCTTACCATGACCAACCACAGCCTCCAGAGTTTCAGTAGGTCTTTCCTTGCCCAATCTGGAGGAACCAGGACTTGGCCTTGGGCCTTTTGCCCATGAAGAGGAGTCCCTACCACTGAGCTACAGTCCTTCCCCTGAAAATACTTCCAGTGTTTTGATGTACACTGATAGATACCTATGGCTTATTTAAATAAAAAATAATTGACATGAACGAAAGGAACAAAAAATTGGGGCAAATAAATTTCACCGGCACCATTCCTGAAATAAATAATAGACATTCTCCTCACCAATTTGGAAGACAGGCAGAACAAAATGCAGAGCAGAGCTAAATCGTAGGAAAATTACATGAAGGAAAGCCAGACACGCAAATGTATTGGTAATTATTTTATAAAAGAAAAATCAGCCTTAAAAAGTAAGGTCTATTTCAAATCCAGATCTGAGACAAACATGTAAACATTCTGAATCATTTGCACCTTCTCCTACAATATTTGACCCATTCAAATGAACGAAAATACTTTGGGAAATATTTTTGTCTTTTTTTTACTATTGCAGAATTTCATTTTGGCATTAAGGAGCAGGAACACAAGTTGGAGGGATGTTAAATTAACGGTGGGCAGATTTGCTGGAGCAGACACAAAAAACGTTTGCCTGCCAATAAATAAGAAACCAATCAGTGTTTTTAGGATTAGGGCCAGGTAGAATATAAAAGCAGCACATTGCTAAGTTCAAATGAACACAGTAAATCAATTAAATATGAAAATGTTTCAAAATGGGGGAAAACCTATTGAAACCCACATGTTGACCCTTGGTTTTGTTCTATCACAAGCACATTGCAGACTTGAAGCGCAAAATCTGTTAAAACACTGTAACTGCACCGTTCTCTATTTGTGTCATCAGGTCTGGGGCAAAACATTTTGAAATGAACAGAGGCTGCAAAGGAATGGTTGAATTGTGCTCAAAAGTAAATGGAAACAGTCGCGCAAACATTAGAAGCCAGAATGGATAATGAGAAGCAAAGATTTAGAGAGAGTTAGTGTTAAGACACAAACTGATTGTCCCCTTCAAAAAACATAGCTACATTTTCTTCAAAATATTGCAAGCTAATGAAGAAAAGCACATCTTTTCACCAGGACATGTTCATGTGGGTTTAACTTTAAAGTATGTGAGTAAATCGCTGCTGGATCAGAGATCTACTCTTTTCAGGCTTGGTATAAGTCCTGCAGATTTATGAGCTTGGGCTTTGCCTCATCTACAAAGTTTTTTGGATTCCTTCCCACATGAATGCTTTCACTGGGATATGGGCTGCATAATGTCTTGCTATGGCAAACTGGAGCGGAGATGTCAAGCTATCACCACAAGTCATAACTGAGGTCTGCTAACACTAAAGGCAGATTCACCTGGCAGAACATGGCATTGCACAGAATCCGTACAAGCATCGAGCCAGCTATAAGACTCAAATGGACAAGAACACCTGCCATTAAGGCACTCCAATAAGTTGCCTTCTGGAGGAATTTGGTAGATTTCGACCCATTTGAAGCAGTAAGAAAAAGGAGGGCACAGCAACAAAAGCACAGGCAGACCACTGTGCCTAGACCCAGGGAGGAAACCCCTTTTAAGTGGAATATGTATAGAAACTGGTATAAATCAAGACACACTTCTGCCAGAGCTACCTGCTGAAGGTTGCAACTGCAAGCCTTTACAAAAGACTGGATGTCCAACCACTTCCAGTTTCAATCCCAGCTTTTTTTTCCAAGCAACCTACAAATCAAATCTTGTTTCAAAGGGAGATGTTCCACAGACATGGCCCACCACCTACCCTACTTGCTTTAATACAAGCAGGTTCTAACTCCTGCTTCTCTCTCTTCTGCTTCTGCTGTCATGAGGAATCCCACTAAAACCAAGCAGTTGCTCTTCCATGCACTTCCTCCAGGGTTTCTGGAGCAGGCCTGTGACCAACCCAAGCTATCTATAAAATGATGGCAACATCACAGCAGCTAGCAAATGGTAGCCACAGATCAGCCTTCCCCAAGCTGCTTCCCCACCAGAGGTGCTGATGTGCAACTTCTGGCAAGCCATGGAGAACACAAGGTTGGGAAAGACTATCATACAAATAACCACATTAAACACTGCCACAGGCTTGCTTGGACAGCATTAGGGATTTCAAAGAGCAAGCTCCTATTCTGCTACTAGTTCTTTAATTTACAGATCTGGAATAGTAGGTGTCTCAGTTACCTTCAGTGTTGAGTTTTTCAGGAAGGCTGGAGAACAGCATAAAGCTTGGACCAAATTGGCCCAGTGTGAAGTTATATGAGCTGAGGACATGTGGATTCTTAAATTTCTTTGGCCCACCAAGGGCAGATTGATGTCTTCAGAGGTATTCTGTGCTTTTCTGATTATCCTATCGTGATCATACAGAGTTAATACATGGAGAGATGCTCAAAGCTGAATCTTTAGCAATGGAAAACACTCTAAATGGGAAGAAGGAAAGAGGGAGGGAGGGAGGCCCAAGGATATCTTGAAGAAAATGTTTTACTGGGAACAGTTTGCATTTGAAAACAAAAACTAAAAAGCAGGACTGACAGACAGAACTGTTTATTCTGGGTTTAAGTGGTTGCACTGTTGTAGTGCAGAGTTTGATATCAGGGACAATCCGCAGCAAAATCTTAGTTTATACACTTTCTGTCCCTCCCTTCTTCTTTTCTTTTTTTGCATTTACTGCTGTGCAAAGAAGTTTGAAAATGTATAGGAAATGCCTGGTGAGATTTGACAAGCCAGAGGTGCACTAAGCACAACTGCCAGTGGCCAGAGCTTTCAGAACTCTCCATCGCTCCTTTCTCCTCCCTATGGCCAGCATAGGCAAAAATAAATAATGCAAATTTAGCAACTGGACTCAAAAGTTGCACAATTTATACAAGTCACAGAATTTAGCTTTTTCTCAATGCGAAACAAGCGAGTCTTACCTACTTTTTGTTATTAGTAAGAAGCATTGATCACACAAATAGCCTAGAATTATACCTTTTCACACCTGAACATATAAGCAGCTGACCTGAAGTTGACCCAAAACTATGGCTGTAATCCAGATGCATTAAAAAACAAAAACCGAGTCAAAGGGAGTTTGGTCACTGCATGAATTGGAATCACTGCAATAATTGGAAACACTTGACGAAGCCTTGAGGTTGAGTTCCCTGGCTGTTAAGGCAACGCTTCAGGAGAGACAGAGATGCTCACCAATGCAGCTAACATGGCTTGAAGGTGTTCTTCCGGCTCAGAGAGATGATTCCCAAACACCACAAGAAGATCAGAATCCCTCCGCCAATCTGGCTCAACACACCCAGACATGAAATCAAACAGAACGATGGCGGAAAACGGTAAACATAAATGTATACTTGCCATCAGAAGCCTAGCTAGGGTGGGCTAAATGAGATGTCCTGCAGGTAACAGTTTTGAAACAAACCCATCAGCTACTAGCTGGGGAACCAGCAAAACTCTCTTTGGTCCATCTGTACACCTCTCTGTAAAACCAAGCAGCTGCACACTGCCTAATTGCAATGGTCTTCAACAAGATTTTGCCTTGGCACCAAGTGATGCCTTGCAGGAAGTAACGTGTGCTGCCTGTTTCAGTAGGGAGCGAGCGAGCCTTGATTTTAAAAAATATCTCGGCAGCCACTGCAGGGACAGAATGCATGAGAAGATCAAGACCAGATCTAGAAACTGTTTTTCCCTGGTTATCTCTAGGACCGTAAAGGGTTAGGGTTAGGGAAAAGTAGGTCTGAAGCCATCAAACAGCACACACACACGCATACACACCTTTGGCCATGAACTGATGAGTTAAATACAGCCCTCCAGAAAACAGGAAGGAGGAATTCACCAAGGGAGCTCCCCACTAGCTTCCTGTGCTTTTCACCCTCAGCAAGTCCTTTTCCTGGATCAGTCACAAGAGAAGAATGGCATTGCGCTGCAGCCTGTGGTCCACAGATCCAGAAGCCGGTCGCTTTCTTCAAGAAACGGCACTAGCATCTGAGTCAGGCACACTTCTGAGGAGGATACATCACACCCAAGGTGGCTGGCAGCCAAAGAGAAAGGAAATGTAGGGTCCAGAAACAGATTTTGACAAACACTAATTACAGAAGAAACCATGCCAGAGACAAAGGCTTAGTGGGAACTCACGCTGGCATCTCCCCAGCTCCCTTGGCACCACTCCTGGCTCACTAACAGAGACTTTTGCAACACACCGAGAAATTAACGCACCTATCTCCGTGCTCCATCTCCAAGGCGACTGTTCCTTTCTTACCACTGCCGCCCCCCCTCCCCCGCAACAGAATATCCAGCACTTTCAGCTTGCTTGCTTCCACATTCCATATTGTTGCCTTCCCACAAAGGTGCTGGGAGTGTAATTTTTAAAAGAACTATTTGGGCTCATGATTGATTTCTCTTGGCTCTGTTATCAACAGCCCCAGATCACCCAAGCACAGCAAGAGTTTCCCATAGGCAGATCCCAACAACAGCAGCAGTTTAATGGCAATTGCCACAAGCCTTTAGAGTTTTCGAAATGTCATGGTATCCAGCTGAAAATCAAAAGGTTAAGGCCCAAAATGAGATCAACTAACTGGAATGTACTACTTAGCACAGAAGGGAACCCAGCCAGACCAGTCCATTCATCAGCATATCAGGGGGGTGGCTAGCAATTCACTGAAGCTCACATCCGTTCACACTCAACCAAGTGTGAGGGGTTTCCCCACCACCATGTCCTCTAAGTACATAGGTCCCTGTCACACCACTTCTGCTCCCCCCACCCTACTTCTCTATGGCTTGCATTTGTTTTGGTTCTTCCTGTCTCAGGAAGTACCTGGAGCAACATCAGTTCCTCTTCTTGCTTTTGCTGCCCTTGTGCTTGAATGTCATTGTGCTGGTCTCTGAGCAAAAGGTATGTGGGGTTTCTTCCCAGAGTAATTGGGTGGGATGGTGGCCAAAGGATTACAGGGCCAGCAGAGTTGGTGAGTTCAAGGAATCGGAGGACTGGTCACCACTGCTGCTGCTCCGCCGGTGAGCTTTGGAGCATGACTCCGATGGGGAGAGTGGTGACTCTTGGTCTAGCACGCTGGGGTAGGTGAAGACCAAGTTGGATGTTCCGGGGGTGATGGCGGGTGTCGAGGTCACCACAATGGGGGTGTTGAGCGGCTCTTCCCCGTAAAACCCCCCTACAATGCTGATGGGTTTGATGACAGATCTCTGCCCTTTCTCAAGGTCGGAAGAGGAGGAGGGAATCTCTTCTTCCACAGGCTCCTGCTTCACCAGAACGGGGCCACTCATTCCAGTCCGGATGGTCTGGAGGCTGTGTGGAGGTGGGGTGCGACGCTCCTCAGGGCTGATCTTACACATGGGGCTATGAGCCATCAGCATGAACTTCAGCTTCTCCTTCTCTTTCTCCAGATCTGCAATCTCCTTCTGCAGCACGGACTTCTCCTCTTCCAGCTCCTCTGTTTCCTGTGGATCAAGCAGAGGCAGGTCATCAACAGGAGCAGCAGCAGCAGTCTGAGCAGAACGTACCAAGATAAGCCCAGCTAAACAGATGGGGCCTAGGAGGTTAGGATTAGCCCCCCTCCAGATGGTTTCACCTTCCACGGGAGTGGAAGCCCGAGGAATGGAGAGGGATGATGTGGGTTCTAGGACAAAGCATCTGGAGGGTAATAAGTTGCTCACCCCCAGGATATAATATCACCTCCTGTGGATTGTAGCATTGTATTTCTGTGGTTAGACGAGATCTCTTTTGAGTCCACTCCCACTCAAATAATGCTAAGCTACCAATCCTGGGTATGCTAATTTTCCACTGAAGAGCAGAAGACACTTTTTAGAAAAAAATGGTAAATAGGTTTCTGCTGACCAGAGAGCACCCCCGTCCCCAGGGGTATGTTTAGAGAGATATTTTGTGTTTCATTTACAGCAAAATGCAGAACACTCAGTATCCCTGGTGACTGTTCCTCACCATCTCACTGCCATGGGCATCTATAAGGAACAGTGACTTAAGACACAATCCTATGCTACATTTAGACAGAAAAGGGGCCACTGTTGCCACTGTGGAGTGGGAATTTAAGCTGTACCAATGGAGAGGGAGGGAGAGAATGAGAATCTCATACCACTTGGGCCAGAATTGCCGAAGTAGTTCACAGTTGGCTGGGGCATGCTGGGAGTTGTAGGCCTTTTTTCTGCCTACATTTGCATCGGATTGCACCTGTAATATCTCCCACACTCCCTGCTTTCACAGACACGATTTCAGAGAGAGGTACACATCAGATGAATGTAGAGGTAACGCCTCACACAATTTTTGCACAGTGAGGAAGCATCCATACAACTATGATTTAGGGCAAATGCAGAATCCCCACAGTTCTGGCCCCAGTGGCATGAAATAGCTATCTAGTTTCCTTACTCTCCAAAGAATGACAGGGGCCACATGAGGGGGTCATGGAGAAATATTTTCTTTTCTGTTCTTAGGCCATATGGTATGGCTTTAATGGCACTCCACACCAGCCACCATTGCCTTGTGCTTTGCTGGTGTCATGCTGTCCCTAAATCCTTTAGAAAATAAGCCCCCCTGAATGAGAGACCATCTCATCAGAATATGGTACACAAACTTGACAGGGCCCAAGTCTGGATGCCCTAAAGTGGGCAAGACCAGAATGGAAAAGACTTGTGTGTGGAACACATACTGCCTGGAGTTTCTCTGTCAGCTCTCGACGTCGGTTACGGCACTTGGCAGCTGCTAGTTTGTTCCTCTCTCTCCTAATCCTTCGCTTCTCTTCTTCCTCAGGTGACAACTGCGGCAAAACACAGGAACAAAAGCATCAGTTCCAGCTGGCAGGAGAAGGAAACCAATTAACAAGCGATAAACCACAGTGAAAAAGAAGGCTCAACTGGTAAACTCAACAGTACCATTAATTTCTCAGGCCATATTTCACCCACTGCAAAGAGGCTTCTCAAGAAAGGACTAACAGGGTCACACTTCCAGCTTCAAGTGACAGCCAAAGCTTGGAGATGCACCAGCCAAGCCTGTAGACACCATTAGCATGGACTGGAAAACACAAGCAGGTTCCAGACACTGAACCTGAGACTGGCAACGGAGAACCTGCAAAACCTGAGCTTGGTGCTAACCTCAACAACTAAATACCTTCAAGGGCATTTCAGGGACTTTATGTATTCTACCACTAGGACAGGACCGGGCAACCTGTGGCCATCCAAATGCCTTGGCTTACAACTCTCATCCCCTGTAGCAGCATGGCCAATGGAGAAGGATAATGGGAGCTGCAGGCCGAAAGACCTGTAGGTCTCCATGTTGCCTGCCGCTGCAATGGAGCCTGGGCCAGAGAGGAGCAGGCACGGCGGTGGAAGAGCGAGGGAGTGGAGAAGCAAGGCAACGGTTGGGCAAGAGAGCATGGAGTCTGCAAATCAAGGCCAACCACATGGCGGAGCCTCCCCGCTGTTTCACAACTTGGGTGGTTTGTGAGGTAAAAGCATGGGAAGGTGTCGCAAGCATCTCCTTGAAACAAACTATCTGCTTCTTCCCATACGAAAACGGTCGTTAACTTGAAGGTCAGGCACCAAGGTCCCAGTGGGGTGGGGTGAGATGGGGGACGGGGTGGGGGAGGCAGGATAAATTAGAGGATCCCTGTCAGAGAGAAAGAGAGGCCTTCCTTGACATCAGCTTTAAAAACTACTTTCTTCTCCCCCACTGAATTTGCATGATAACACAACGTTATCTTTCCTGAATCATCTGGCAACCCTCCAGTTCATTTTTGTTTATTTTTTTAAAGATTTGTGTCTTGTTGCAACTTTAGTCCTCATAGTTTTAATGTTTTGCTGCTTTTACCTTTTTTGGGTGTTTGTGTTAAGTTGTTCCCCATACTGATGACATTTTAGCAAGTCAGGTGGCATATAAATGTTAATAAGGAATAAAATAAATACCCCACCCCACCATAAAAAGCCTGATGGAGTTAGAAGTGAGTGCAGAGAGAGGTGGGGCAGTAGTTAAAGTTTTGGACGGAGGACCTGGGAGACCCAGTTCATCTCCACTTGATCATCAGCTTCCCTGGGTGATTCTGGGTCAGTCACAGACCTTCAGCTCAACCTACCTCACAGGGTTACTGCTGTGAAGATAAAACGGGGCTACATAAACTACCCTGAGTTCCTTAAAGAGGGAAAAAGGACATAAATGCAATGTAACAACAACAGCCATCTCAATATCGATGGGACGTGTTGTTGTTGTGATGGTTCTTTGTTCTTTGGTTTTTCAGTTCATTGTAACCCGTCCAGAGACTTGTAGTAATGGGACGGCATAGAAAAACTTTAAATAAATAAATAAATATTGGTGCAACTTCCCCCATATAGCAGGCAGGCCATTCCAATGCTCTTATTTAATCAGGGGTTTGATCCTACTAGCTACTGGGTGTGAGGAAACACAGGACTGGAAAAAGACTCCTGGCTTCAAAATAAAGGACTTAGCCAGTATCTCTATACTGGAGTAGGAAGCTATTGTAACACCAGCATCAGGGTAATTTCAGGAGTGTTTTTTCCTCCCACTGTTTTCAGCATACAGGTAGAGGTGTGGGTGAGGGAAACATGCTGGGGAGGTTTCTAGATGGAGCTCCTGGCATTACCACTTCAAAGGCGCTACCCGGTGATCCTGCCTTTTTCTACAGTAAAAAAGGATGAGGGTGGGAGGGGGAGGGGGAGGAGAAGTGGTGTGAAGGTGGGAAACGCACAAGGGCTGCAAGTGGACAACGACATCAGTCCAAACCCCACCACCACCCCTTGGGTAAAATTCTGAGGATGGGGGTGGCTTGAGGAAAGCCTTACCCATCCTAAATCTCATACAAGACATTCTAGACAGTCACCCTGATTTACAGGCACCCATGATTTGAGAAAAAGTATGCATTTTGTGGGTGATGCACCACCAAAGAGATAAAGCAGATACATCAAATCTGGATATTCAATTTTAATTACACTTTTCTTCAGCCAGAAGAAGTTATTTCTGAACCATCCCACTGATTTGGTTATCTCTCCCCCTTTCCAACCCTACTCAGCTCAGCAGAAGTTGCTTACAGTACAATTACTGTAGATTTGTTGATCTGCGGCATACGTTTCATGTGCAAATAACAATGCCCTATAAGGAGGATTTAAATATGATCTAACTGAGAACTGAGACATTTTTGTATTTTAGCAATATGAGCATTTTCAACCATGGTGGCAGCCCTGGAAACCTCTATGAACTCTGAACATTCCAAGGAACACCAATGGATTAATCCCCTCCCAAATCTTGTAAGGCACTTAGAAAGCCCATTCTTTGAAAAAGAACAACAAAGGGCTCACAGAAGGCTCCAAATAAGGCATTATTTGCTTACACAAAGTGACACAAGCCTCCTGAGTCCATGCAAATGTGGCTAAACAAGCTAGGAGCCAATTTAGGTGATAAGATCTTTATCTGAGATTACTACAAGGCCACTCATCACATCTGAATGGTGGATTTACAACAATGGCACCTGTAACATTCACTGATAGCTGCAAGCTCTTTTCTATAGAAAAGCCACTTTCCTATTACTCATTTACTATTTATTTATAGCTATGTGCATATGAAAAAGTGACTTCAAACTCAAGCAGCCTGGCTATTCTAACTGGACAGAAAAATCTGAGCAGGGCATACAATGAAGTGGAGATAGAAAGCTGGGACATTTCCCTGGAGAAAGCAACCCTATCTCCCCCATCTTTGATTTGGTTTATTTAAAACCTATCATGCTTTAAAATGATCTATGGTACTCAGGGACACAACATATTGTTAAGGCTGCTAGCTTAAAGGGATTTAAACAAGGATTAGCCAAACTCAAGAGAGGATCAGGCTAGCAACGGCTTAGTCGGGATAGTTATATGGCTGCATGTCTCTGAATTACCTGTGCCTGAAAAACAACAGTAAGTGAGGCCTATGGTCCCCACGACTTGTTGGGGTCTTGCCAGAGGCATCTAGAAGGGCATTGCAGGGAACAGAGTATTGAACTGATTAGGATACTTGTGTTTCATCCAGAAGAGCTCTTCCCATGGTCTTTGTATGGAAGCACATTAGAAAAATATAAAGGTCTGTGACCATAGCCAACTAGTATCGTGCTGAATTACTGTCTCCCTAGTGCTTCAGTTCTCAATTATGGATCACCAGGACTGGCAAAGCAGAAACAAACTTAACAGCCAGTCCTGCTCTAGAAACATTCTCCAGTAAGCCAAACACAAAGTGATGGCTTCGGGAAGCCACTGAGCTGCTTCCAAGCATATGCTTCCAAACTTACACCTTTAACTACGAATACAAGAAAGCAACAAGACTGTCAGATGCTACTAATGCTACTTTCTTGAAGTTATTGGGGCTGGACAGAAGCCTGTTGGGACACAATCAGCAGAGCTGCTGAATGGCTTTTTGTCTTCTGATTCGCCGTAGGTATGGGTTGAGGTTAGGATCTAGATCCCAAAACCCAAGTTTATACATTATAAAATGGAAGGTGGTTAGTGTGGGACTGAAGATCTGGGAGATCCGGGTTCTAGTCCTCAGTTGGCTATGAAGCTCACTGGGTGACTTTGGGTCAGTCACTCACTTTCAGCCTAATCTACCCCACAGGGTTGTTGCCATGAAGATAAAAATGGACCTATGTAAGCTATGTTTGGTTACAGGGTGGTCCAACTTTTCATATCTCAAAGGCTGCATGAGGACTTCAACACAGAACCTGGGGCCCACACAGCTCCTTCTCCAAGCACAGCCCAAGCACAATGGTCTGACCACTGCTCTGGGGTGGCCCATCCCTTTCTTCCCTGTTTCTCCAACCCAAAACCCCTCCTATGTTACTTCCCCCTCCCCAGCCCCTTCTTCTTTCTTGGAATTGGCACACTGAGCCTCTGGTACTTGAGCTGATGAACTCTTCCCAGCATGCTTGGGGGCTGCATGTGGCCCGTGGGCAATGTGTTGGACCACCCCGTTCTAGAAGAACTGATACTGGGGGAAATGCCACTGATTCCTTAATAAGCATGGAAATTTAAGCAGAAGCATTAAGTCAGTCCAAGGTTTTATCTGCTCAGTGCCCTCTATCCTGACCAGTAGCAAGCTTCTATCTTGATGCCATAGCTTTCCAGCACTGCCCGGCCTTGATACTCAAGATTTCTGCATCAGAGATGCCAGAAAACAAAGCAAAGCCTCGCATGCATGAAACATTTGCTTTGCCAATGAGCTCATGACTCCTTGCCACAGTTTGCATGGATCTATGTAGACAAAGGTGCTTGCGCAAGTCAGCACTCCCTAGTGAGCCTCACAGAACCCATGCACTTGCAAAAGAAAGGTTTAGTCAGCACCACCGATGACTGGAGCATGAAGTTATCAGCTTGGAAGTTTTGTATTCCCAGTCTGCTCAGGCAGTGGGTCATGAGCAGTCCTTTCAACCACTGTCGCTACCTGCTCATCTCTCCTCCTCCTGCCCACCGTGGTCCCGATGGTTTTAATGACACCAGGTCTCTGAAGGGCTGTGTGGCCAGCGACCGACGACAGATTTGGCAGCGCATGGCTGTATGGATGAGAGCGGGAGTAGGCACTTGGCATGGAGGTGATCACAGTGGGCTGGACCATCCACTGCAGGTCTTGGCTGGTGGTGATGGCGTTCAGAGTAGGAATGAAAGTGCTGCTCGATCCTGGCATATCTACTCGGAATTTCTAGGAGACAGAGAAAGCGAGAGAGGAATCAGTAGAACCAGAACACCAATGTTATTCAAAACTAAACAAGGTGGTAGTCAAAGGACCCCAGCCTCCCTTTACAAAATAGGCAATATGCATTCAATTCAGTTTTTAAAAATTATAAACTGGAGATGCTGTGGACAGAATCTTAGACCATACATAACTTAAGCTCTGCATGTCCAGAAACCAACATTCTGAACTCTTTGGACTTAATGGCAGTTCACACAGTATGTTCTGCCTGAAGGGAAACAGTCCTCAAATTACTTGAGTGTATTCTGGGATTTGAAGCAGGTGATCAAGATATGGCTGCAAGCTTTTCCCAAGATCACAGTGACACTATTTCAAGGTGAAACGCATTTGGGAAGAAAAGTTATTTTAATGTGAAGCTCAAGACTGGCTTTAGAACTGGGTTGGAGACAACATAGAGCAGCCTAAATTAACTTCTCACCACACTAAATTAAGGGGGTGGACTGTATCTTCTGCTCTCCTGTAGTTATGGTCATTCATCACATAATATTTGAATGTGCAAAAGCTAGAGTAGGGAAGTTAGGAAGCAAATTATTTCTTGAATTTTGGTGCCAAGTTGGTCTTTTGTGTAATTTTTATGCACAAATGTGTCTTTGATGTACAAATCTCAGCATACAGGCACACACGCTTACCCGCCTCAAGTGAGTAGATACTTGCATTACCAAATAAATTATCTAAAAAAGTTTGACGTATCAAATATTTGCATGTTCTTTCACCAGTGAAAATGACTCCAACAAAATACAGGTGCGTCTTTTATCTAATTCTTAGAAAAATGGGCAGAAAATATACTAGAGATAGAAGACCTGGTATGTTTTGCGCTACAACTCCCATCAGCCCCAACAAGCATTGCCAATAGGTAAGGATTGTGGGAGCTGTCTGAAGCATCTGGTGGGTGTTTGGTTGCCTGCCCTTGCAGTTCGCTTTGTGATGTTCAATTCTAGCTCAGTTATGGTCTCCCAGATGAAAAGAAAAACAATCATGCAGAGTTTTCCATTTTTCACCTTACATATTCCATAGCAAAAATGAGCCAATCTCAGGAGTGAGGTTTATCTACAAACAGGAGTAGCATCAAAATTGACACAGATACAGTATCATCCCTCTTAGCTAGTGCTGAGTGAAAGCTACACAGTTCCACTTAACTCTACAAATCTTCATTTGCAAATGAACTGTTACAGCACAAAATTCAAAGTCTCCCAGTACTTTTGATCTCCATGTACAGATGGGAACTGTCCACAGTTTGCCAAAAGCCTAGCACCCTGGGCTAGCAGCTTAAATACAGAGATTGTCTTTTGTTCCTCCTCTAAGATCTTTTAACATTGCATAAATCAGCTAACAAATTTGAATCCTTAACAAGTATACTGCAATATAAATGATATATGCCAACAGAAAAGTATATTCCACTGAGCTCAGTGAATCTCATTTCCAGGCAAGTGTGCATAGGATTGCAGCCTGAATTGCTCACAGATATGGCCCTTTACAACATGGAAGGTGTTGCTTTGGATGTGGAGAAGCATTCAACAAAATCTGAATGTTCATCTTTCAGTCCGAAGTGGTCTAGTCCAGAATTCTGCCACCTCATTCTACCATTTCCTTCTGCTTAATATCTTGAACAGCTGAGAAATCAGTGAAAAAAGAAGAAAAGGGCACAGAGAAAAAGGAAATAACCCACACAGAGTCGAGAGGTGTGATAAAGTTCTTATGTGGACATCTTCCATCAATTCGCTCACAATATCCCGGCAGGCAGCCTGGCTTTATCCCACTCAGTTATTCAAATTCCCAGGATGTAATGTGGCAACTCAAAATAAGGAATTGACTTACTGAAGCGGTGAAAGCCACCAACCCCTGAGAAGAGGTTTGCCAGGGACAAGCAATTTCCCTGACTCTTCACCTCCAACACGCAGCTACAACAATTTGGAAGCAAAGGGAGTGGTGCCCCAGCTTAAGCAATCCCTTTCGACCTATTAAATTTGAGCAGACACATCCCTCTGTATGCCCCAGTACACTGCTGATCTGTGTAAATCTTTAAAAGAAATATGGGTAGAGAAAATGTGCACTATATTCAGAGGGGCATATATGCCTTTAATGTCCTATAGAAATGTCCTAAAGAGTCACTCTTTGAATGAGATCTGATGCTGCTATTTATCAAATTCTGACCTGAGTTTTGCTACCTGCTGCTTCATTCATTGTGGTTTGAACAACTGATATATCCCTTTTAAATCAAAAGATGGAAATTTTACTAGTGTCTACTAACCAGCACAACATGGTTAAGATACCAGTAGATACGAGTAGAAGGCACAGCCATATGTAAGGATGGTTTTAAACATAGAATATATAGATGCTTCCAGCTGCAGCAGGTTTACGTGCCTATATTTTAATAATACCCTATAAAATGTGTTTTGGGATTCAGATCAGAAAAATTCCCTGCAGGTCTTTGCTCTGTCTAGACAAAACAAAGTAGCAGCTTTTTAAAAGGCACTGAGTAATCTCCTGCAAAATAATAATAATAAAATATATAAAAAGAATACTAGTACACCTTGTTTCCAGATTGAGGTAAATCCATCTGGATGGTATGCTGGCACTAAAATGCTAGGGGAATGGAGGAAAAGCAAAACCAAACAATAGGCAGTCCCTGAAGGGAAAAATATATGAGAAGGAATGCTTTTGTCTAACCGGGGAGCCGTTCAGGAGACATATAAATGCTGGATTAGTTTTACAGGCCTATCATGTCCCAGCACAGGAGTTTTAAAACCCATTAACAAAAAGTGGTTTGCTGTCCTTGAAAATCATCAACACTCCTTTGGCTAATGAAATGTTATCAAAGGGAGCAAAGGCAACAACAAAAAAGGAGAAAAACACAAAAAGATTATCCTGAATGATGAGAACCAAGGTTCACAGGCCTACAACTCTTGGTCTTCTAAAGATGACAGCCAGGTATCTCCAAGAAGTTCACATGCAAGGATTGATGGAGCCAGGCTTCTGCTTGCTACAGGCCCACTGCTCTTAGCCATTGTCTGCGACCTCTGAACATGGAGGCTGCGCTCCTGGTTATTGCTCCATGAGATGAGAGAAAACACACTGAGCACAGAATTATTAATTTGAGCTCAACACAGACAAATCAATTTTCCGAGTCATTTTTCAACACCTATTTGGGAGTTCCTAATGGTAGCATCTGTAATTCATTTTGCATCTCCCCTGCAACAATAGTCTTAAGTCATGATTCTCTGGCAAGAGTATTATCATTATTATTCTCCATCTTTTTTCACTTGCAAGGAACCCAAAGCAGCAATGTTCTCCTCCATTTTATCCTCACACCACCAACAACCCTATGAAGTAGGTCAGGCCAAGAGTCTGTGACTGGCCCAAATCATCCAGTGAGCTTCAAGGCTGAGTGGCAACAAGGAGCCAGAATTCCCAAGGCCTGGTGTGAGGTTGCTTTGAAATGGAGTTTCTAATGCTAATTTCAGGATGACTTTGTGATGCTATTCTATCTTTTCTTCCTTGTGGATCTTCCATGGTAAGGAAAACGATGGAAGAGATAATGAGAGAGCACCAACCATGTTGGCTTGTTTAAGCCAAAGGAGGTATGAGGCGTAAGTGGTACAGTCACCCACCTAGCTATGGCCTGTGGTATCATCTGAACTGAAGCCACATGGCTTGTTTGAAGAGAAACAACTTCAGACATCCCAAGCACTGTTGTACTGTTTAATTAAGTTCAAATAACCCAACATGCTGGCAAACAGTTCAGTGTCTCACTGTAAAGTCCTTGTCCAAGTAGATCTATTCTGTCAGAGTTGGAGGATCATTCCTCACTATTAGGGCAGTTAGGGTGCATTCAGGGTGTTTATAACCTTTGCAAGAATGTCTTACACGATGACCTAGGAATTCAGAATCCACAATGGAGCAGAATTACCTTTCCAGCATGATGTCTGTTCTAACATCTAATGACTAATAACCAGGAAGTTCCTATCTGACTGGTCATATGCACTATAATGACTTCCTATTCACCTAGGTAAGGAGTAAGAAACAAATTTCTTCCAAACAACATGCAGGCGAAGGTCAGCTGAGATAGCCGTAGCGGCCACAGTATTTTTTATAACTCAGGACAGCCAGGTTCAAACGTTCATTTGGTCATGAAGCTCACTGACAGTTACCATCTCTCAGCCTAACCTACCTCACAGGGCTCTTGTGTGGATAGGAGGAGGAAAGACTATATATGCTGGCTTGGTGGGAAGAAGGGATATCATTGCAATCAATCCATCAATGCCCACACCACCTCACAAAAATGACTCCACTGATAAGATATATTATCTTATGTATCATGAATGTTGGCACGTCTGTATCATGACACATGGACACTGTGACTCTTGACACACACATAAATAGCAAAATACCCAAGTACACAATCTTCATGATAGAATTCTTGGGCATATCCATTTTTCTCTTATACTTCTGTAGGTACCATGTTCCACGTGGCAAACAGCCAATAGCTGTAGATGCGTTTTAAGTAATACCTTACTCATGAAACTCAACTGTGGATAAACTTCAAAATGTCTTAAGTTAATGAAAGCATTTTCACTCAAGGAGTAAAAAAGAATCAAGAGCAGTCAAATCAAGATTTCAAAAATGAGCCTCACTGGACAGCTGTTGCACCCAAAGCAAGGACCGTCCACTGTATTTTGTTGAAGTGTGGAAAAGGACCATCCAGGAACAATGAAAACAGTATTTCTCCTGTCAGAAGAAGCAAAATGCCCTTATGGTTCCTGCTTGGCACACCAATGTTGCTATTAATTCTAAGCACTTTCCAGCACACAGAGTGCTTTTGCGTTATCTTATTTACCATCACAAAACCCCTCTAAGGTTAGTTAGCAGAAAAACAGTGACTTGTCCAAGGCCAGCCTATCAGCCTCATGATGAAAGTGGGCCTTCACAATCCAGACTGAACACCATTCCCA